TGGCGAAAGCAGGAAACAGGAAGGGTTTGGAGGTACATATATTTTTAAAGTGAAAGGAAGTCTGTAAAAGACAATATTCAATATTTCTGGTCCTAAAAATGCTTCAAATTCAAACATTTATTGAAGAAAATCAAAGAAACAGGAGCCCCAAGTCCTTACACCTACCAGCCAATCAGAAGCTGGAGGAGGACTTACCTCTTGCCTTGAGGAAGATGCTGCAGACAGACCACCAAGTTGGCTAACTTACAGCCAAATGGGACTATTTTGTACAAAAACTAGACAAAATGTTTTCTCTTATCTCTGCATAAAATTATCCTTTGGGGTTTGGATTGAAGTAGAATTCGGTTCATACTTTGCCTCTTCGGTGAACAGAGGAATTAATCGAGGGGTTCTCCTCCATCTGCAGCATGAAGTGATACATTCAGCAACCGTGTTACTATTACTGCTAAATGTGACAGCTTCCTGCTCAGGCTGGTTGTTAGGAAGCCAGCGGCTGGAGACTTCCTAGTGACCAGTCATGCATCCCCACCAAGCCCATTCAGCTGTCAGGGAGGATTCCAGCTGGCAGATGAATGTAAACAGAGGACGGGGATGGTGGCATATTCAATCAATAGCCATGGCCATATCTGGTCAATTATCTTTGTTAACAAAAACCGGCCCGCCTTCTGTTAGAAGAGTGGGGGATGTGTGGCAGAAGCTTCTCATGTTGGCCCTGAGATGCCAGGATAGTAGAAGCACCCCCCCCCCCAACCCAAAATGACCCCTTTTTGGAAAGTAGACACTCCAAAGGTATTTGCTAAGGGGCATGGTGAGTATTGTGTAGATCTCGTTTGTTGCCACAGGTTTTTGGAAAATGAAGAAAGCGAAAATGTATTTTTCTTTTCTTTCTTTTTCATTTCCAAATCCCTGTGACAAAAATAATATCTGCAAAATGCTTACCATGCCTCTTATCAAATTCCTTGGGGTGTCTACTTTCCAGAAAGGGGTCATTTGAGGGTCTTTGTACTATCCTGACATTTCAGGGCCTCCGATACTGTGATAGGTAGTGAGGAAGTGACATGAGGAAATATATGCCCTTTGAAAGCCTGAAGGTGGTCATTGGATTTTTGGGGGCCTGTCTATTGGCTAGGCTGCCAAAAAGTCTCTCACATGTAGTATCCTCCAATCCCAAATACATAACTATTGTATAAAATATACAGTACTATGGCCGATTCTTCGACTTTGGCTTGTGTCTTCACATTTAGGGCTGCTGGTGTGGCCTTCAAACTGTGCCCCCACAGGCCAGTTTCTCCCCTCCATACCTAAGACCTGCAGTTTTAATTATTTTTATAAAGACACTTCCCTATGACTTGTGTCTCCACTTTAAGGCGTGTTGGTGATGCCGTCAAAAAATAGTGACACTGGCCAGTTTTTAACCACTCAAAACCTAAGGGCTGAAGAGCTAATGATTTTTAGGAAAACAGACACCTGTGTCTTCTGTTTCTGTATTTTGGCCAGTTTGGCTACCAAACCAGGTTTGTCCCTGGACAGTTTTGTACCCAACCAAAGTCAAGGGTTCTAGCTCTTTACTGACTATCGACTGTGCAATCCAAACAAAGTTTTAAAATGGCAACACTTATAATATGGGGTCATTTGGGGGGGCGGGGGGTTGCACTATCCTGTCATTTCAGGTCCTCCAAAACAGTGATAGGTAGTGAGGAAGTGACATGAGGAAATATGCCCTTTGAGAGCCTGAAGGTGGTCATTGGATTTGGGGGCCTGTCTATGGCTAGGCTGCCAAAAAGTCCCCCACATGTGGTATCCCCAAACTCGGTAGAAGTGGCAGAATGTGTTTTGGGGTGTTATTCCACATATAGCCATGGCGTATGTGAGCAATATACCATTTAAGTGAGAACTTTGTGCAGAAAAAATAAATAATTTTTCTGTCACTTTGCAAAACTTTTTTGCAAAAAGTAAAATATTCCATGGACTCAACATGCCTCTCAGCAAATTCCTCAGGGTGTCTACTTTCCAAAAAGTGATCATTAGGGGGGATTTTTGCACTGTTTATGTGTCCTTGCTTCATAAAGCCAGTTATAGACTTGGGCGGGTGGCCACTTTATGCATGTTTGAGTTTTTGGTACGTGGGTGCACTAGGGCCCTGGTTGCCATTGTGCTACATGCTGGGGTCCAGTGCACTCCTTTGCCTTTAAAGAGGGGTGGCTCCCTCAGGTCCACCTGCCCTTGATCTATCCATTAAATGCATGTGCCTCTACTATGGGGACTCATAAATTTTAGAGTTAGGACCACAGATGATCAGGGTGCCGTGTCGTGGCTCTGTGGCTTACGTATGTATTTGCAAATGTGTGTGCTAACTAAACCCCTGTTATAAACGCATACTGTTAGACAGGTTAATTCGGTTGTTAGCAAGCTGGCTGGCAAGTTGTCCAAGAACATTGTTCTCTCCCCCTTTTTTTCACTATGTGATGCCTGTTTATGTGTCCTTGCTTCATTAGCCAGTTATAGACTTGGGCGGGGTGGCCACTTTTATGCGGGATTTTGCACTTCCCTGGCATTTTAGGACCTCCAAAACTGCGATAGGCAGTCAGAAAAAGTAAAAGATGTGTAAATTCCAGTATTTATCCCATAGTCTGTTGACGCTATAAATTTCACACAAACCAATCAATACACACTTATTGGAAATTTTATTTTTTACCAAAGACATTTAGCAGAATATATTTTGGCCTAAACGTACGACTACATTTGAGTTTATTGGATATTTTTAGAATATAGAAAATATTGTTTTTTTTTTGCGTTCTTTTTGGAGGCACTTCCACCAGTATCCTTTTTAGGCATGTTTGTTTGCACAGAAACACACACCGGCAAGTTGCCTATCACATTTCTTGAGGTGCTAAAATTCCAAGAAAATAACAAAAAAACAAATGACCCATTTTTGGGAAGTCGACACCAAGGAATTTGCATGTTGAGTCCATGGAAGATTTATTTTTTGACACACATATTTGGATATTTTTTTAACACAAAGTTGTCTTTTAAATTATATATTGCTCATATATGCCATGGGAATATGTGGAATAACACCCCAAAACACATTCTGGTCCAAACTGAACCAATGAACTATGTAAAAATATACAATATAATGCTGATTCTTCTGATGTGGCCTTCAAACTGTGCCTCCACAGGCCAGATTTTCCTCTCGATATCTAAGGCCTGCAGTTCTAATTATTTTTATAAAGACGCTTCCCTATGTCTCCACTTTAACAGCCTCATGCTGAGGGTACGCAAATATGCGGCCTCTCAGTGGCTGGGCCTTGACACCAAGCAGCCACATGTTTGCACACAATTTGTAAACAAAGATGTGCTGAGAACGCGCACCCTGCACGCTCCCAGCACACGTGTCGGCATCCCGTGGAAAGGTCCTGATCTTTCCTTGCAATCAGGATCTTTGCGATCATGTGACAGCCAATCATGGCCAAACATGACCCTAAACCCCGGCCCGCCTCCCGCTCTCAGAAACCCCTTAAAGGGCTGGGAGGTGCTTGCACAAAGGGGTTAAGGCTTGTTGGTGCTGCTGTCAAAAAAATAGTGACACTGGCCACTTTTTAGCCACTCAAACCTAAGGGCTGCAGTGCTAATGATTTTTAGGAAGACAGCCACCTGTGTCTTCTGTTTCTGTATTTTGGCCAGTTTGGCTACCAATCTGGGATGACCCCTGGACAGTTGTACCCAACCAAAGCTAAGGGTTCTAGCTCTTTACTGACTATCCACTGTGCAATCCAACCAAGTGTTAAAATAGCAACCCTTATAAAATGTAACTACAAAATGATGGAAGCTAAAAGAAAAGCCGTGTTCCTTTTGTAGTGTGTTAGGTCCCTCTGTCCACTAACCAAGAAGTAATAGAGGTGATAAATCTATAAAAATACTTACAGTGGATTTTAAATTCAAATGTTGAAGATTGTACTCAGTTATAGAAAAGGGGCTCTCAAGGGGTTATAAATTACATCTTAAGAGACCTTTAATGAGGATTTCAGCTTTGTGTTCCTACAACACAACAGACGATCCTGAGGGAATGCCGACAATTTATATAAGAATTAGTAATTATCTGATACAAATGTCTCCAGGTGAACCTGAGTATCATGTGCAGGCACAACATATATGTTTTCCTATTGATAAATCCTCAGACTGATCATCTTATGACTGCTTTATGCTGATAAACTAAAAACAAAGATTAATACAAGGAATCTGCCAGAGATTACCTCTTGTGGGTCCATCAGACCATCCACTGACCACGAATACACTTTGTGTGCTCTTCCATCTGATCTCTCTGATGACTGCGGGACTGCCAACATCTTATATAAGAATACATCATTAGCTGCCAGAAATGTCGGCATGTAACCCTGAGTGTAATGTGTAGGCACTCCGTACAGGTTTGTCCTATTAATAAATCCTCAGATCTGTAATTTTATTACCGTTCTATAGTGATACATAAAACAGAGAGAAAAGAAAAATGAATAATATGAGGAATCAGACAGAGATTTCTCTTTTACCCTGTGGGTCTATCAGACCATCCACTGACCATGAATGCACTTTTTGGGCTTTTCCTTCTGATCTATCTGATGACTCTTATCACAAACCTTCTTATATTTTTCTTGGTCCTCACTGACTCCCATCTGCACAACCCAATGTATTTTTTTCTTGCCAACTTGGCATTTCTGGACATGTCCTATTCATCAGTGACCGCACCGAGGATGCTCTATGACTTGGTCACAAAAATTCAATCAATATCCTTTCCTGCCTGTATAGTCCCAAGTCTTTTTCTATCTCTGCTTTGCTTGCTCAGAACTTTCCTTGCTCTCGGCTATGTCCTACGACCGCTACATTGCCATCTGCCGCCCCCTACATTACAAACTAATGATGTCTTGGAGGGTCTGTGCTCATATGGCCTCCATGGTCTGGGTTGCAGGATGTTCTGTCTCTTTGGTCCATACTTTACTTTTGCTCAGGTTGTCCTTCTGCAGAACATCTTCCATCCACAACTTCTTTTGTGACCTTCCTCATATGATTCAAATTACATGTACTGACCCCTTCATAAACATGGTGGTCATATTCTTAACAGGTGCTACTTTTGGATTAGGAATCATTCTTATGACCTTTCTTCCATATGTCTATATTCTTAGTACCATCCTCAGAATCAGTAGCAAGACTGGAAAGAGGAAAGCGTTCTCCACCTGCACCTCACACCTCACCGTGGTCTTCATCTTTTATGGATCTTTAATTTTTATTTACTTTGTTCCATCTTCCACCAATATGGCCATTTTAAATAAACTGTCTACAGTCATATCTGCCCTCATTAACCCATTGCTGAATCCTCTGATCTACAGCCTGAGGAACAAAGATCTCATGGAGGCACTTCTGAGGTCTTATTATCACTTACAGTTGATCCGGGCATCATTCTGAAATTTAACACTTTTTGTATTCCTGGGACATTTCTAGTTGACTAAAAATGTTATTAATGTCTTTCATAAAATGTAAACAAGTCAGGGGCTCACAGTTGTACTTACCCTTTGCATGACCAGGGGTTCTTATAACCCAGAAACCAAATGTAGCAGTTTCGGTGCTGTCTGTGCCGCACTGGAAGTGACGTCATTACACCGCCCGCACCAGAAGTGACGTTCACGATGGTCCGTAAGTCAGCAGGGGATATCTTTTAGGTGATTGGGAGTTTCCCTCCCTAGAAGCGAGTGTTTTGAGGTGGATACTTGCAGGTTTGGGTGAAGATTTAACTAACTGATTCATTTGGTGGTCTGTGTTAGTGTCTTCATACCCTGATGGCTCACTTGTATCGTTGCCTTTGGATATTTGGTGGATGGTGCTACACCGGTACTTATTACATCTAAATATGACAGATGGGGGCAAATTAGGTGGGAATTGTGTGCAATGTGGTTATGCTCCCCGTTTCCTTATGGCGGATTTTTGTTTATTTTACAGCTTGCATCTCCTGATTCCATCTTGGGGGGGTTTTAGGGCTGGTGGCATCATTGATCCCCATGTAGATCTGCTCCAACTTCAGGTAGGTTATATTGATGTAGTTATAAGTGAGGGTTTTTGTGGAAATATCACTTTATGTGGGACAAAAATAATATTACCTACACACACTCACCGGCCACTTTATGAGGTCCACCTTGCTAGTCCCGGGTCGGACCCGCTTTTGCCTTCATTCTTGGTGGCATAGATTCTACAAGGTGTTGGGAACATTCCTCAGAGATTTTGCTCCCTATTGACATGATAGCATCACGCAGTTGCTGCGGATTTGTCAGCTGCACATCCATGAACCATTGATACAAGGCAGGATGGATCCATGCTTCCATGTTGTTTACACCAAATTCTGGCCCTACCATCATCATCTTATTGCAGCTGAAATCCAGACTCATCGGACCCGGCAACGTTTCTCCAATCTTCTATTGTCCAATTTTGGTGAGCCTGTGTGCAAATTGTAGCCTCTGTTTCCTGTTCATAGCTGACAGGAGTGGAACCCGGTGTGGTCTTCTGCTGATAGGAGTGGCACCCTGTGTGGTCTTCTGCTGACAGGAGTGGCACCCGGTTTGGTCTTCTGCTGCTGTAGTCCTTCTGCTTCAAGGTTGGACATGTTGGGAGATGGTATTCTGCATACCTTGGTGTAACGAGGGGTTATTGGAGTTACTGTTGCCTTTCTATCATCTGGAACCAGTCTGCCCATTCTCCTCTGACCTCAACAAGACATTTTCCTCCACACAACTGCCGATCACTGGATATTTTCTCTTCTTCAGACCATTCTCTGATGGTTGTGCATGAAAATCCCAGTAGATCAGCAGTTTTTTATATGCCAATACCCATGCCACATTTAAAGTCACCTAAATCCCCTTTCTTCCCCATTCTGATGCTCGGTTTGAACTTCAGCAAGTCTTCTTCACCACGTCTAGATGCCTTAATGCATTGAGTTGCTGCCATGTGATTGGCTCATTAGCAATTTGTGTTACCGAGCCATTGAACAAGCGGCTGGGGAGTGTATATAAGGGTTGCCAAAGTATCTCGGGCGGTTCTTTTTTAGCCATCATTATGTTTTTTTCAGTTATCTGCATACCGTGGGGTTAATGTGGGACTTACTAAGTCCACTTGGTATAGTTAATACATGAAAGTGAGAATGTTGATGGATTGTTGTTCAAACAAGGGGGCCTACTAATGTTATGGATATTATGTATTTCTTTATAGGGATTTATGGTGCCCATCTTCACTATCACTATCAGTGGGAGGAATAGTGTCCCATCATTGGTGTCAGTGGGAGGAATAGTGGGGCCCCATCATTGGTATCAGTGGGAGGAATAGTGCCCCATCATTGGTGTCAGTGGGAGGAATAGTGCCCCATCATTGGTGTCAGTGGGAGGAATAGTGTCCCATCATTGGTCAGTGGGAGGAATAGTGCCCCATCATTGGTGTCAGTGGGAGGAATAGTGTCCCATCATTGGTATCAGTGGGAAGAATAGTGCCCCATCATTGGTATCAGTGGGAGGAATAGTGCCCCATCATTGGTGTCAGTGGGAGGAATAGTGTCCCATCATTGGTATCAGTGGGAGGAATAGTGCCCCATCATTGGTATCAGTGGGAGGAATAGTGCCCCATCATTGGTGTCAGTGGGATGGGAATAGTGCCCCATCATTGGTGTCAGTGGGAGGAATAGTGCCCCATCATTGGTGTCAGTGGGAGGAATAGTGTCCCATCATTGGTATCAGTGGGAGGAATAGTGCCCCATCATTGGTATCAGTGGGAGGAATAGTGCCCCCCCATCATTGGTGTCAGTGGGAGGATTAGTGCCCCATCATTGGTGTCAGTGGGAGGAATAGTGTCCCATCATTGGTGTCAGTGGGAGGAATAGTGCCCCATCATTGGTGTCAGTGGGAGGAATAGTGCCCCATCATTGGTGTCAGTGGGAGGAATAGTACCCCATCATTGGTGTCAGTGGGAGGAATAGTGTGCCCCATCATTGGTGTCAGTGGGAGGAATAGTGCCTCTTATTATTGGGAGAAATAGTACCCCAAGGGCCAGATAAAGGCTAGCAAAGGGCCATATCTGGCCCTTGGGCCGCAGTTTGAAGACCCCTGGTATATACCATTGGTAGTTATTAGTATTTATGTATTTTTCTTTACCTTCCACCTGCCAGGGGATCACTATGGTGTCCTTATGCTGCTGCAGCGAATATTGTTTTTTACCTGACAAATGGTTGTGTGAGTTAATCCTTGTATATAACGATTGTACGTCATGTAAACATTAGTTTGTCTATATTGCTTATACAGTGAAGGAAATGTGTATTTGCTCCCCCCTGATGGTGAATGTTCGCCCCTCACACAGAAATGATCGGTCTAACAATGGAATGTTCGCCCCTCACACAGAAACGATCGGTCTAACAATGGAATGTTCGCCCCCACACAGAAATGATCGGTCTAACAATGGAATGTTCGGTGTAACACTGAGAGACAGAATACAACAACAAATTCAGCAGAAATGCGTCTAACAAATGATGACGGATCTGCATGTTCATGAGGGAAAGAAGGATTTGATCCCCTATCATTCAGCAGGATTTCTGGCTCCCAGGTGTCTCTCATACAGGTAACAAGCTGAGATTAGAAGCAGTCTCTTAAAGGGAGTGCTGCTAATCTCATTGTGTTACCTGTATAAAAGACACCTGTCCACAGGAGCCATCAAACCATCAGATTCCAAACTCTCCACCATGGCAAAGACCAAAGAGCTGTCCAAGGATGTCAGGGACAAGATGGTAGACCTACACAAGGCTGGACTGGGCTACCAAACTATGGCCAAGCAGCTTGGTGAGAAGGTGACAACAGTTGGTGCAATCATTCACAAATGGAAGAAACACAAAACAAGTGTCAGTCTCCCTAGGTCTGGTGCACCATGCAAGATCTCACCTCGTGGAGTGTCAATGATCATGAGAACAGTGAGGAATCATCCCAGAACTACACGTGAGGATCTTGTCAATGATCTCCAGGCAGCTGGGACCACAGTCACCAAGAAAACAATTGGTAACACACTACGCCGACAAGGACTGAAATCCTGCAGTGCCCGCAAAGTCCCTCTGCTCAAGAAAGCACATGTCCAGGCCCGTCTGAAGTCTGCCACTGAACATCTGAATGATGCAGAGGAGGACTGGTGGGAAGTGTTGTGGTCAGAGGAGACCAAAATCCAGCTCTTTGGCATCAACTCAACTCGCCGTGTTTGGAGGAGGAGGAATGCTGCCTATGACCCCAAGAACACCATCCCAACTGTGAAACATGGTGGTGGAAACATTCTGCTTTGGGGGTGTTTTTCTGCTAAGGGGACAGGACAACTGCACCGCATCAAAGGGATGATGGACGGGGCAATGTACCCTCAAATCTTGGGTGAGAACCTTCTTCCCTCAGCCAGGGCAATTGAAAATGGGTGGTGGATGGGTGTTCCAGCATGACAATGACCCAAAACACACGGCCAAGGCAACAAAGGAGCGGCTCAAGAAGAAGCACATTGAGGTCCTGGAGTGGCCTAGCCAGTCTCCAGACCTTAATCCGATTGAATATCTGTGGAGGAGCTGAAAGTTCAAGTTGCCAAACATCAGCCACCAAACCTTAATGACTTGGAGAGGATCTGCCAAGAGGAGTGGGCCAAAATCCCTCCTGAGATGTGTGCGAACCTGGGGGCCAACTCCAGGAAACGTCTGACCTCTGTGATGCCAACAAGGGATTGGCCACCAAGTACTAAGTCATGTTTTGTGAAGGGGATCCAATCCTTCTTTCCCTCATGAACATGCAGATCAGTCATCATTTGTTAGACGCATTTCTGCTGAATTTGTTGTTGTATTCTGTCTCTCAGTGTTACAGCGAACATTCCATTGTTAGACCGATCGTTTCTGTGTGAGGGGCGAACATTCCATTGTTAGACCGATCGTTTCTGTGTGAGGGGCGAACATTCCATTGTTAGACCGATCGTTTCTGTGTGAGGGGCGAACATTCCATTGTTAGACCGATCATTTCTGTGTGAGGGGCGAACATTCCATTGTTAGACCGATCGTTCTGTGTGAGGGGCGAACATTCCATTGTTAGACCGATCGTTTCTGTGTGAGGGGCGAACATTCAGCATCAGGGGGGAGCAAATACACATTTCCTGCACTGTGTGTGTTTATCTTATTTTGTAGAAGTTTCTGCTGTATCCTACTTTTCCCTGAAGAAGATTCCGATTGTGAATTGAAACGCGTTGAGGTTGTAGAATTTGGGAGATAATTCTCCCGGTTACAGATGAAGCAGATTGCTTTGCCATTGATATGGATGTATATACCGCTTGGCTACATTATGTATGATATCTCTGTTACCTCTTTGAAGAAGCTAAGAATAAATACAACAAACTCTTAACTGTCGTGTGTTTCAATTATAGATGGT